GGGGGCTGTGTGCTCCAGCCCGGCCGGGCGCAGCCGGGGCTTTGATCCACAGGGACCTAGTGCCATCTCCCGGCGCTCCGCTCGCTTCGCTCCTGGGCACCTCCACGGACCCAGTGCAGCCCCGGCTGAACGGCGGGATCGGAGCAGCTTCCGGCGGGAGGGGGACGGGCAAAGTGCTGCATGTCTGCCCAAACACTTAGAGAATCACGGACTCACAGGATGTTAAGGGGTTGGAAGGTTAAAGATCATCTTGTGCCACCTCCCTGCCATGGGCAGGGACACCTGCCACTAGACCTGGTTGCTCAGAGTCCCCTCCAACCTGGCTTTTTGAGAGTTGCAGGGCTGGAGCATCCACAACCTCCCTGGGCAACTTGTGCCAGTGTCTCACCACTCTCACAGTAAAGAATTTCTTCCTTATGTCTAAGCTACATGTCCCCTCTTTCAGTTTGTACCCATTACTCCCTGAACTACAGTTCCTGACAAAGAGTCCCTGACAAAGAGTCCCTCTCTGGCTTCCCTACAGGTCCCTCCAGGTACTGGAAGGTGCTATTGATAAGGGAAAATGTTAAGTTGCTATTGATGAGGGAAAATGTTAAGTTTCCATGTAACTGGCCCAGTTTAATAAGTGCAGTTTTAAGGTTCCTGTGCTGTTTGCTCAGACACAGCCGTGTTGCCGGTGGGCAGCCAAGGGGGAGCTGCCCAGAGGCAGCCAATGGGAAAGCTGCGTGGTGGCGCGAAGGGGCAGCCAATGGGAGGGTGTGCAATGGAGCAGCGTGTATCAAATGGGCAGCCAATAGGACACTGAGCAGACGGGCAGCCAATGAGGAGCTGTCGCCAGGGGAAGATGATGAAGGACTGCGCATGCTCAGAGAGAGGAAGACTTTGAGCCTGCCTCCCCTGCGAGCACCCGAGACGACCAGCAGAGAGCAGTGCGCAGGCGCCAGAAGGCCTGTCCCGAGATTTACATAGAGCACCGCCCACTCTCGGGTAGTCATGAATATGTAAAATACAATAAATATGTATGAGCTAGTTGTATAAAACGGGAGGTGTGGCAGAGGAGTGGCGTTTGCGTGTTAGACGGAGCTGTCCCCGAGGCGTCCGGCGCCGAAATAAACAAATACCGGCTTAATAGCACCTGTGGCTGTTGGGTTTTACTACCGCTGCTTTTTCTCAGCATCAGTTCTGGCGAGCCAGGCAGGCGTCTTCCTCTGCTTGGCTGCAGGCTCCGTTGGAGGCAGGGACTCCCTAGGGCACCCTCGAGACTTTCTCGAAGGGACTCCTTACTTCAGTCAGCTCACTGAGGGAGCAGACGGGGACCTCTTGCGACAAATTGAAGGTATTTGGTATAAATCGCGGTTCGTTTTTGGGAATGACTGGTCAGAGGGAAAGTACCCATAAGCCGCGGGAGACGTCCTGTGCTGGGGCACCCATAAGATGCCGGAGTCGTCCAGCAGTGGTTTGGGCAGTGAGCTCCGGCTCTTACATTTGGTTCACCGTTTGGGTGTTTGGTGCACACAGTGTGTGCGGGCTGAAGCTCGCACGACTCGGTAAATTGTTTTGGCGTTTGTCTGGTGAGTGCAGTGTGTGTGGGTTAAGGCTTGTGCGTCTCGGCAAATTGTTTCGGAGTGTTTTGGTACACCATTTAGATGTTTGGTGCACGTAGTGTGTGGGCTACGGGTCCCACATTTGGGTGTTTGGTGCATGCAGGCTCGCACATCTTGGTAAATTGTTTCGGACTCTGGTGAGTGCAGTGTGTGTGGAGAACGTCTCCTATGTCTCGGTAAATTGTCTCGGTGTCAGTTATACGCAGTGTGTGTGGGCTATGGGTCTGGTGCAGGTGGTGTGATTGGCACAGGTTTTCTTAT